TATTCCCCTTCCTCCTAGAAAATCTTACATGTTGGACAGCATCCCAAAACAATGGTTAAAATTACAAGGAGCTATTAACTATCCCTAGATACAGAAGATCAATTACAGTGCCATCTTTCATCAAGAACATGCACCTTACTATAAAGTTCACAAAATTGCTGAACATTTAAGGGCCATTCACACTGGGATTTATCTGTGCTAACGGAGTCGGTTCTATGTGTCAAGTAGCTCCGTTTATACCAGAAGTTCACATTTTTCAACTCGCTCTGCTATGTAAAAAACTGGTTTGGGAGCAGTGTCGGTTGTGTTAGATGTCTGTGTTAGCTCAGATAAACACCAGTGTGAACAACCCATATAACAATACAATAGCAATATTACTTTGGTTTTAAAACTTCCCTCGCTTTGGTCCATAGATGTAACCTAAATGTTCATTTAAGAATGTATTAGAAATGAATATGTTAGTTGTTACTCTTTAATATAATGTGGCTACACTGATAGAGTTATGGCAGTCGACATAAATTACATATAGATATTTAACAAATTTAACAGGATCTGCTCTTATGCATTAGCAAGCTAGAACTGAACAGAAACATTTATCAATATACAGTGGTAGCCAAAATTGTGGACACTTTTGGAAATTTTTATGTTTTTGAACTTTGTATGCTTAAGGAAAATGTTACGTTTCGCAAAATGCAAACTTGTATATATCATTTTAAAGAGAATTATTACTGAATTCAATACAAAACACAAAAAAATTCAATTATTGCACACAAAAAAGTTATATGTACTTAATATAATTAAAAAAACAAGTTATGAAGTGGTTTGTAAGTCTAGCTTCCTGGCCAATCACTGTTCTTGTTCTGAGAACCAATCAAATGTTAGTAACTGCCAGTAGAAGCTGACATCATGTTTACACTGAAACAATTCATTATTTGCTTTGTTCTGTAGGAGGACCTGTTTCTTATACACTGCAATCACAAGTAGGAATTTGTAAAAATGTTTAATATTTAGTCAAGAAGCAAGACATCAAATAAAGGAGTAGATTGACACGTAGAAAAAGAGATGTAATATTATTGTGTTACGAGAAAGTGGCTTTCCTATGCTGAAATTGCAAGACAGGTGGGTGGTTCAGTGACTACATCTGGAGTCCGAAAGTTTTGTTACAATATCAGGAGACAAATTCAATAAAAAACAAAGAAGGAAAAAGGCCGAAAAAAGGTGCACCACATCTGTTGATGACAGAAGAACAAAAAGACTATGTCTCTAAGATAGAAAAATGTCATCAGCGGCCATCAGAAGTGATCTGAATGATGCTGTTGTTTCTGTCAGTTCAAGAACAATCAGGAGAAGATTAACAAGATGTTGGAAAAAGAAGGTAGAATTCCACAAAAAAGCCTTATCTTAATTTTCAGCAAAAAAAAAAAAAAAAAAAAAAAAAAGACTACAGTGGGGCAAAGGAACACATTATTGGACAGATGATCAGTGGTCACAAGTTATATGGAGTGATGAACTAAGATATCGTTATTCGGGTAGTGATGGGGAAAAAATATGCAAGACGTTAGAATAGGAGAAGAGCTACATCCTGACTGCATTCAAGCAACTGTGAAGAAACACAGTTAGTGTTATGATTTGGTCAGCATGTCAGCAGATGGTATTGGTCGCCTTCATGTCATCGATGGGACACTGAATGCCAGAAAATACATTGACACTATTCTAGAACCAAAACTTCTACCTTCATCCATCAGAGATCTCTTTCCAACAACGCTTCGTTTATTTTTCAGGAGGATTTGCTCCTTGCCACACAGCCAAAATATCGAAAGAGTGGTTTCATACAAAAGAACATTAAATGTTGTCATGGCCAGGAAACAGTCCTAACTCAATCCTATCGAAAATTTGTGGCACCGTTGAAAACTCTTGTTCGAATGAGGCGCCCATCAAATAAAGGGAACTAATTGAGGCTATAATTGTTTCCTGGCATCATGTAATAACGAAAGAAGAGCTTAAAACTCTTGTCAGCTCAATGAAACGTCGATGTGAAGCTGTAATCAAAAATAAAGGGTATCCTACTAAGTACTGATAACTTACTGCACTAGCTAATGTATATCGATAACTATTATCGTTTAACTTTTTTTGTATTGCAAATAATTGAATTTTCTGTCTTGTATTGAATTCAGTAATAAATTATCTTTAAAATGATATATACAAGTTTGCATTTTGTGAAACGTAACGTTTTCTATAAGCATACAAAGTTCAAAAACATAAAAATTTCCAAAAGTGTCCACAATTTTGGCCACCAGCTGTATTAGTAACATACAGTTCCTAACCCAATATACAGGGTGTGCAGCGAATAAGCCCTGATTTCAAAATTAAATATCTCTACAACAAATATCGATAGAATTATGCAGTAAACTGTACGTTTATTAGCAAAACTGTAAAAATGGTGTGCAAAAGTTTATAAAATTTTGTTACGAAAATCGTTAACAGATGGCGCTCTAATGGCAGTGACCTATCAATAGCCTTTAAAATGTGCTTCGAAGTCAAAAGTGATCAGTACAACTGTTGGCTAATGAAAAGAGGCTAGCGTAGAAAGTGAAATAATGTATTCCATTGAACAACGTGTATTTTGGTTTTGGAATTTCATCGATTAGAACACAGTCCTACGGCAACACGTCGCAGTTTTCAAGCCCGATTCAAGGTTCCAGTTGGACCCGATGCGAAAACCATTCGCACGCTCTTTGCGAAATTCAAATGGACTCGCAGCGTGGCTGATGATAGAAATGTTTGGGCCTAAGCAAACTATAGTCACCCCTGAAAATGCAGCCAAAGTTTCTGGATTTGTTCATCAAAATCCTAGGAAAAGCATCCAACGGATTGCATCAGAGAGAGGTTTGAAGTACACGAGCACACAAAAAATATTTAAAAAATAGTCTTACGGCTGTTTCCATACAAAATCCAAAGTCATCAGGGCCATACCCATAAAAGCTGTACAACAATTGTCAACTGTACAGCTGTACAACAATTGTTGTATTCGCAAAGTCAACCCTACAAAGCTGTAGGGTTGACTTTGCGAATCAGATTCCAACACTGGTCGACAATGACAGATTTCATGTGAGCTGCATATGGTTCACAGGATGAGGCACATTTTCATTTGAATGGAATCGTTGATAAACAAAAATTGGAGATTTTGGGGTACCGAAAATCCTCATTTGTGTGAAGAAAAAGCACTGCATTCACCTAAAGTTATGGCATGGGCTGCGCCAGAGGCATTATCGAACCATTTTTCGTACGAGAAACGATAACTACTGACCGTTTCGTTACAATTTGTCAGCACTCAACTAGCATTGGAGGATCGACCAGGTATCAACTGGTTCATGCAAGATGGGGCTCGACCACATCGAACAGATAAAGTTTTTCGCTTTCTTCATGAATACTTTGGAAATAGAGTAATTGCGTTAGATTATCCGCAATTTACTGACACAGGAATAGCTTGGCCTCCATATTCTCCTGATCTGAGTCCTTGTGACTTCTTTCTGTGGGGCGCATTGAAAGACACTGTCTATTGAAACAATCCTGGTACTCTAGATGAGCTTGAATAGTTGATTGGTGTTGCATGTGATTCCACATCCATTGAGACATTGCAAGACGTGATGTCAAATTTCATTGTTTGTTTACGCCACCTCATTGTTTCGAACGGTGAACATTTTGAAAAAATTGTATTTTGATTGCAAAGGCTGCTTCACTTTATTATTTTTATTTTTATTTATTTATTTATTTCAGAGAAAGAGTTTTCAGCGCAGAGAGCCATCTGTTAACGATTTTCGTAACTAAATTTTCTAAACTTTTATACACCATTTTTACAGTTTTGCTAATGAACATACAGTTTACCACATAATTCTATCAATCTCTGTTGTAGAGATATTTAATTTTGATATCAGGGCTTATTCGCTGATCGCCCTGTATTTACTCAGTGTATTATTTAGTTATATTTCCGAACAAAGTGAAAACTATCATTTTAAATACCTGTAGTGATATAAGCACTTATATAATAAGAAATACCCGTACTTCCTTATTATAGAGGTTTCCAAGATTGAATCGCTAATCAACTGAGGTATCTCTCCAAAATCTCGCTTTGTGTTCTTATACGTGCATGTTACATCTCGACTGATTAGCGATTAAATTTCGGGGGCCACTATAATAAGGAAATACCAAAATGTTGCGTATAGAGACCAAATGTTCTTTCACTTCTGAGAAGATAAAATCTATGCAGGTAATATTTTTATATACAACAAGTAAATTATTTTCAATTTCAAAAGGTAGAATTATTAATTGCTCTGTTGAGAATAATAAAAGAATATCAGAGATTGTGACTATTAAAAATTTTCATAAGTTGGCACTTAAGTACATTATGAAATGTGTTATCATTGGGTGGGAATAATTTTAGAAAAAATAATTTTAAGTCAGAAATCAAAATTTCTTGTTTGTAACTACACAATGTCAATTGTTGTCTCAAAAGACCTATCATTCAAAAAGTCAGCCAGCCCTCATTACTAATGCTGAAAAAAAAGAATAATAACTTCCCAATACTGCAACACAATTACAGAATTGGTCTATTTAATTTATGCAAACAAAATAGCAGGGATAAAATTATGTTATTCCAAACACATCAGGGACACTGAAATTGTCAAAACAAACGAAAAAAAAAAAAGTCTCCAACAAAATTTGAACAGATATCTCCACAACTTCAAAAGAATGTAAACTAAATTTACATACGTATAATAAAATAGACTACTAAATTAGTACATCAGATTAAATATAGAACAATCAGGTTTGAAAAGTTTTCTTAAATTTATTTATTATTCATTTCAAATATTAACTGTTCTCTAAATTTTATTGAATATAACTCACTGTCAGTCTATATTTTATACCTTGAAAATCAGTTTTCACTTTTACACTTTTAATCTATTCAAAGTAATTTAAATTACTAAGTTTTAATAGTATACCTGGTGTACGGATTCCGGCGTGATGCATAACGAAATGTCAAAAATCGATAATAAGCAAAAGGTGTCAGCAAACTTCCTTTGCCACTGAAATAACATGTAGATAATTAACAATAAATATACAGTTATAAGACTTTTTTATATTAATCAAAATATATAAATTCTTAATAATAAATATTAAATTTTCATTTTAATACCTAAAAAGCCATAAAACAGTTACAACCATCAAGCACACCTCTGTGAAAGCAACTAGTCTGAGAATATTACGCTGATGATTTTCTGCAATTGATCTGAGGGATCTTGTAGCAAAAGTATCATAATGGCCAAGTTTCTGTAAAAATGCAATGCACAAGGCATATTAATCCAAATGTAACTGATGGAAAAGTAGTATAAAAAATTCTGAGAATTTCCCATTAGCTCTAAAATTACCTGATAAAACACAACAAGCAATTGATGATTTTAATTAAAATTATCATCCAACAATCATATTTGCACAATGATAAAATATAATATACAAATAGTTCTGAAATGCATTAAAATAACCTAATATTATTAATAATTCAATGCACATAAAACTTACATTTAAGATTATAATGCTATAGTTTACTGAATGAAGTACAGCAAACAGAAAAATAGGTAGTAGAGATACTGTCAGTAAGTTAAGGTAATATTTATATACATATTATTAAATTATAATACAAAATATTAGAATATTTATTAGGCCAGAAATAAAATATTTTCTAAATAATTGTGATCAATAACCATTAAAAATCTAGCAAGATCTAGTAACAAGATGTGACAAAAATAAGGTGAATGATAATAAAAATCTGACAGAGTAAAATAGCCTTCAAAGCAATGTCCTTCTGAAAAATTTTTTATGAATACTAAAAATATCTGCACTACTTTAGTTTTTTAATCATAACAGCTTTAATATGTGAAATATTGGGAAATCTGGTCTCTTTAATTACAAATTACAGTTTGGGGTATGGAAAGAAGTTTGGTGGAATAAGATCGGGAAAACATAAAGGGTGATAGAATGCAAATGGCAGTTAGCTAAGAATGAATCAAACACATAATATGAAGTTGATTGTCATGCAAAAGAAACCAAGATCCCAATTTATCTATCTGAGGCTGAATATGAGCCATGAGTGGACTGAGAACCAACCTTGCAGCTAAAACCTGCACTCACTGTTTGGCCTTCTGGTGTGAACTCTTTATTCATTAGGGCATGTATAACAAAAAAGATAATACACTGCTCAAAACAATTAAAGGATATTGCGGTTTTAGGTGGATCTTGTGGCTGGGAAACCTTTTAGCTGATTGATACATGGTCGACAGACGTAGTAGGGTTATATGAGAATAAATTACACATGTTTGGCAGGAAAAAAAAAAAATGCATTTTATTGCACATTTGTGTACAAAAGGAAAAAAGCACAATTTGTGCATATGAGAAAAAAAGAATAAGAAAAGTTGTTTTCTTCAAAGGAAATCATTTTCAGTAGGGGATATGGTTTCCACGGACGGCCAGCAACGTTGAACACCTTTGACAGGGTTCGTACACATTTCTGCACACGAAAATTAAGTACTTTTAAGGACCATTAATGAAAAAATTAAGGACCTATGAGCAAATAGGAACTGAATAAATTCAATTAAAAATATTATCTATGCCTGAATTTCACTTTTGTGATACCATCCTAAAAATAAAACAGATCTCTAAGTAGTCTGCATTATTATTAAACATGAATTAATTAACATAATTATTAAAAAATTTGAGAATAAAAAACTTTATGCAATTTAACAAATAACATTAAATATTTTACACTTACAACAAATGGACATATTTGAAAGAAGATAAGTGACATTTACGTTTTACCCACAGTTAGCTTTATGTTGATTTTTTTAAATGTCTCATTTTGTCACGTACTTGGTCAGTCTAGAGGTTGAGTAAAATAGCAGGTAGATTTTATGTTAAACGGCATAGGTTAAAATGAGAAGTAAGATCGTAATCAGCATGATTCAGAACAAAAGACTGAATGTTGTTACTGCTGCTGCTTGTCTAGAGAGAGACTTGCTCATTAGAACAAACCTGAAAGGCCTGATGTAGGTTCGCAACTGTTGAAAGTTAGTCGGGCTCTGTTTGATGCAGTTCGTGTCATAGCTTCGTGTAGAGTTTCAGGGGTTGTAACCCAGTTAATATACTTTAAGGTTCCAATAAGCCATTAAAGAACCAGAGATGATAAGTAATTTTGTATTAAGTCTCACTAGATTAAAAGAATAAGTGTTACTTGAATTTTTACGTTTTTGTGTTTTATCTTGTGACCTCAGCGAGTATTAATGAAAGGCAATAACTCGCTTTAATACGTAGAGATAATTTTTTAGGGTAAGCAGTTAGTTATAAATAATTAAATTAGGTAATTAGATAACCTTAGTCATTATGGATTTACATAGCCACAATTAAATTTTATTTTTTAACAATAATTGTTAAAAAAGCCCTATTAAAATCAAAATCTAATAAAATTTCACAGTTTAAAATACATGTAATTTATAACATTGATTCTAAAACAATATTAGGATAATTACACATTAAAAGCTACAAAACATAAATGTTTTGTAACAACAACGACAAAATATTTATCCGTCATTTTATTTTGAAGCCTTCTCAAACATTTTGGCTAGTTTATATTGATTTCCTTCTCTTTAAGCATCTTCTCTAACAGTTAGAGATTTGTCTCAAAATGCAAACCAATGCTCTCGCTAGTTTCTGCATCAACCTAACTGCTTTATCTCCTTCAACCTAACTGCTTTATCTCCTAACTTGTCAACCTCTCTACAATGTACATATGAGGTTTTACTTGATCTGGTAAAAGTTAAATAGTCGAAAACTCCCGAACTAGACATGTGAAGCAAACTATCGCTATGTCTGAAAATAACTAAAATATCAGACAAAGGTTTAAATAAGCGTCTTATATTAAAAAGAACTTAGAAATACAAAGGCATGTTCTGATGCTAACAAAATCATTATTTACAGCTCACGGTGACGTAATTAAACAAGAACAGTCAAATTCAAACTAAAATGTGGGAACTAGTGGTCAAAGATCATAAAATTTAAATTTGATCTGGCTCAATAACTCTATCATATGAGGAAACAGAAATGGGAAATTATAGTAAAGGCTAATATCGTAAACAATTGGGTAATTTTCATAATAATAACTGCACATTTTCTTTGAAGAATAATTTTCTTTGTCTTTATTATTTTCTTTCTTCAACACGTTTCCTTTTCATCTTAGAATTTTTTGATTTAATTAAAGATTTCCATTTTTCTAAAAAACATGAAATGCATTTAGAATGCATAGAAAATGGCTAATTTTATTTCTTTAGTAATATAAACATTCAGAAGAAATACATATGGTAAAGGCTGGTTACAGAGCTACTGTGGTAGAATTTTTAGAATTTAGTGACACACCGAACAACAAAATCTGGAAATGGCACAACTTTTAGAATTTAGAGCAGGCATTGGAAGCAGAATTTAGGCCTCCACAGAGAATTGCATCAGGTGGGAAAATGCCTAGTGCTAGCTCTGTGTATGATGCATTAAAACATATTACATGAATCTTTTAAATTGTAAATTTTCAATTTCTTTATTAATAAAAATCCCTTTCTATAATGCTTGCCCATGTGACAAGATTAGAAGCATTTTTGATACTTTCTATGCTTGTGTCTAGTGAAAAGTAGAGAAAATAAAGGGAAGGTAAACATGTTAAGAAAATGATTCTAGTATCAAGAGTAAAACATTCAAATATTATGTTTTCATTGTTCTTCAAAAAGTAAGAAATTCATCGCAAACTTTCAGTAAAATACATCCATTACATGTTGATACCATGGAGACATTTTTAATTTTGTCACATATTCCTCGAATCTTCTAGAATCGCGTATCTACAAATCTTGCCTTCAAATCCTTCTAAACTTTCCAAGCTGCAATGGCTAAAATACTAAAGAAAAATTACCCCTACCAATTCAGTAACAGAAAAAAGCCAGAAATATTTTGGAAAAAAGGAGGGGAAAAGGTAAAATTTATTTTATAGAGAAACTGATAACATATTCTGAGAATTTTGAATATTCCGAGACAATACATGGAAAAACTTTTACTATGAACAAATTAAAAAGAAGATATTTTTAACTAATTACATAGTTAATTTTGCTTTTGCTAAGAGCCATTTCATAAATTGTGCTTTATAGCATTATACCTTCTTTATTTTTCAGAGTGAAATTTTATATGACAGCGAAAATTAAAATGCTTTATTTTAATATTATTTTAAATATAATTTCGATATATTACCATTATTTTAATGATAATTTATCAATGTTAGAATGTTTAAAAAAAATCATCGAAAAATTCTCCAGATCATGGAGAATTTTAAATTTTCTATAGAAACTGATCTTAAAAATCGTCAAAATGTTGATAAGTCACCAAATTTAAAGCTGTTAAATAAAAGAATTCACATCTCCAAAAGCGAAAAGTTGTTTAAAAGCTCTTTATTAGAAAAAGTGAAATATTTTCGAAATGCTTATATTTCACTTCTTGCTTAGAAACTCGAGTATCCCATCAATTATATTAGAAATAGAAACAAATTATAACCCATAAACCCAATCAAAACATAACCATATATGCCAGTGAATCGCCAAAAATATTCCCCCAAAATGCTAATTCACACTCAAAATGGCAATTGAAAAAAGAGACAGAAATTTCAGATGATTAAAATTAAGGACCTTCGCTGATTTTGGCCAAAATTAAGGACTTTTAAGGACCAAAAATCGATTCCAAAAAATCTAAGGACTTTTAAGGACCGTACGAACCCTGTTTGAGGCATGGAGTCAATGAGGCTATTAATCACGAGTTGGGGTATTCTGTCCCACTCTTTCAGAAGAGCTCTTTCCAGTTCTTGGAGAGTTTGTGGGGATAGTTGGCGGCCAGCAACTCATCTTCCTAGAGCGTCCCAAACGTGCTCTATTGGATTCATGTCTGGAGAACACGCTGGCCATTCCATTCGTATGATTCCTTCCTCGAAAAGGAAATCCTCCACCAGGTTAGCACGATGTGGCCTGCAGTTATCGTCCATTAAAATGAAGTCATCTCCGATTGCTGCAGCGTAAGGGACTACAATAGATCTGAGGATCTCATCCCTATAGGGCAGTCAGAGGCAACCAGTCAGAGGTCCATCTCGAATGATGTAGAGGTCTGTACACCCGTCAATGGAGATGCCACCATACATCAACACTCCCCCACGGCCAAATCTGACACTTTCGTGCACGAACGCAGGATTATTCCTACTGCCACGGTCCCTCCAGATGAAAATACGCCTATTATCACGATGAACAGAAAAACGGGACTCGTCAGAAAAAAGAACATTGCTCCATTCATTTCTCCTCCAGTTCACATGCTCTGTTGCCCACTCCTTGGGGTCGCGAAGATGCTTTGATATTAGTCTAACACATACCATCGGTTGGCGAGCATACAGACCTACACCACGGAGTCAGTTTCGGACCATCTGAGTTGAAACCGTGCTGCCAGTAGCCGAGCGAAGGTGTTGTTGGAGAAGAGTAGCATTCATATTTCGGTGTCTCCAAGTCGTTAACACTAAATAACGATCTTCATTGGGCGTTGTTGCCCGTCTACAACCTTCCCCTGGTCTTCGGCCTTCACTTCCAGTTTCCAAAAAGTGGTTCCAGATCCTAGAAATCACACTTTGTGACACTCCAATGGCTTGCACTACTTCAGCTTGAGTTTGGCCCCCTTCTAAACTACCAACAACTCTCCAAGCTTCTAAATCGGTTAAATGACTTCGCTGAGACATCGTGCTCATCGAAACAAAGCAGTCACTGAATGCCGATCATCCTTGTCTTTTGTTCAGTTGAAAGTCAAATTTCATTCGCTGCCACTGAAGCGACGTTTTTGACGTCGAACTCAAAATTAGCATACTCCATAGTTTGAAAATCAGAAAAATTTGCATTTGTGATTCTCTTCTTCCATTTTTGCCAAAAAAAATTTCGCTTATATATTTCTTTTATATAAAATAATATACTGCTACAATACTATACAAGATAAAGATAATACACTGCTACAATACTATACAAGATAAAGATAATACACTGCTCAAAACAATTAAAGGATATTGTAGATATAAAATCTACAATATCCTTTAATTGTTTTGAGCAGTGTATTATCTTTATCTGTGACTTTTGGAAATGAAATCTTTTCGATTTCGGCAATAAAGCACTGCTATTCCATGCACTAGCATTTAGTTTTTGGTTCATACAAGAAGCCCATGTCTTGCCTTCAGTTATAACGGGTGGTTATAACAGATTATAACAATTGCGGTGGTTAGAAATGAAAATTTTAATGAAGGGTTCACACTTTATTGTATAAAAACAAAATATTAAATTCTAATGAAATACATTATTTTATAAAAACAAATTATTAAATTCTAATGAAATACTTTATTTTTTAAGAAACAGAATATCCAAGTAATTTTATGCGAACAAGAAATTATTTTTACATAAAGAAAAGTTTTAGCAGTTTAAAACAAATCACAAAATATCTCATAAGTTACATAAAATGGCAGATAAATTTAATGATGAAGCATAGTGTATGCCAAAAATTATTTTCATTTTCCCCCCCTCCACGTCAGCTATGAGGTTTTAAGGCGAAGCAACATTTAGGATTAAATTTTCATATAGCTTTCTCATTTAAGAAGATTACGATTAAATATGAAATATGTTGTACATTCAAAGATGATCTTATTGTGAAAATATTGTTCACGGACCTGAGAAGTAAATCAGCTACAATGTTGCTAAAACAATAATTTCATAACTTTCTTTTATGCTTTTAGAAATTTCATTGCGCAGTTTTCCTGTTAAAGCTATCTCAACAAAATCCCTCTAAATTATTAATTTTTATTTCATGCTTTAATACAAAATTCAACGCTCATACTTTTTTTTTCTCTTCCTGGTCATGGATATACTACTACATCCAGACTCCATGTAAATTAAACATTAAGAATCGCTTTTAATTCTTTATCAACGAGTTCTTCTCCATTTTAATTCCTTATTTTATAATTACTTTGCTGCAATAATCTATTTTGAAAAGACTGGAACGGTTCAAAAGTTTTTTTCACTGTGTTTTCCAGGAACTACTGAATTAATGATAAGATGCTAATTCTCGGGAAAAGAAAGATTAATGTCAAAGTATGATTATGACATAAAAACATGTATTTTTCTAGGAGTAAATAAACAAGCAAACAAAAAGAACAAGGGGTTCACAAATTAGAAACAAGTTTAAGAGAGATCATGCAAGCTCCCTTAAGCTCAACATTGGTTATCACTATCTGCCATGTCAATGAAGTCGCATGATTCCATTCTCTGTTGCTTTTGTTCTTCAGTTACATGGTGACAGACAAATCTCATACAAATTCTGCATTTACCCAAGCCTTTGCTGATAATGGTTCTAATGATTTCATGAAGAATATCCAATTCTTCCACCATCATTTGAATGGGTAAATATCAATCCTGCAACAATAGCTCACAAACTTTACTGACATTTGCTGGTTGTTCTACTCATCATCAGTCTTCCACACAATTGTTAATCTCAATGATTTCCTACTCTCCATGGAATGAAACCATTTATGAACTTTCTTTTTTGAGTTGAACACATACATACATGTCTGTAGAAACATACATGTCTGTAGAAATTAACAGTGTTGCATCATAAACTTTATGCCACGAAATGTTGACACATGCTTGCAGATGTTAACCAACATTTAGAAGAATGTGTCGTATGTGTTGCCATGATTATGAAAATTCTCATTATAGAATTAAAGAGTAATTCATTCCATTTTCCAGTCTCACTTTGCATAAGCACCACCTCTAAAATTTGATTTACAAAAGTCTCTGATTTACACAATACTAAAATAATTTTACACATTTATTAATAAAAACAGATCTTTTAAGGCTTTTTGTATTATTTTTAAAAAATGTATAATATATTTATATACATGACAGCAATATGTAATAAGTCTTTCCAACAATTTATGATACTTATGTATCATCTCACCACCCATGAACCCATGAAATTTAGCATCAAACCAAGAAAGCTAGAGGAAATCCTGGCAAAGTCACAGCAACTGTTCCTGTGGAATTCTAAAGGAACTCATGCCTTCCTATTTAATAAATTAATGAACAATTAGTATTTTCCTTGCTTCATTTCTGTGTTTTGTCGGTTTCTACTATTTGTTAGGATCTACAATTTTACTAAAGGCTCTGTTTAGAACACTATAAGTACAAACTTGCGACAGGTAATTCTTTTAATCTATTACTGTTCTGGTAGCCATATTCAGCTGATCATACAGTGTCCATTAAAACACAATTTTTTATGACCTTTATTCTTTGAAAATAATCTACTACTTGTGATTCTGTACAAGGCAGATTCCAAATTTTAATTTTTGTTCCCCAAAATGCATGGAAAAAATACAGCAGTAACAGTTAATTTATATCCTTCTTCACAAAAACAAAAGGTGGGCTAAATTATAGCAGATCATTTGAAGCTACATTAAACAAAAGTCAGATGTTATGAGTCCTTGTTACATCTTTATTTTTTTATGTTGCCGCTAAATCGCACCACTAGGTGACAGTTTCACTGTTGGCTGAAAAGTACATAAGTACCCAACTTACATACAGCTTTTGAGGAAATATAAAAGAGATGCTTAAATTATTCCTTCCAATTTTTAAAAATCATAAAATTACCTTCTTTTACTTTTAATTTACTGTAAATTTAATTCTTCTCTTAATTTCAAATGAGAGTAGTGCATATTTATAATGAATATTTCCTCTTGTCCAAACTAATAAATTATACAATGAGCTACTTTTATATTAAAAAAACTTCATTAATAAAAACTTAACTTTCATTACTATACTATAAAACTTAAAAGGAAATTTTAAACTTTTGTTGCTGATTTCCTTTTAAATTACCACCTTCTTCCATTTTATATACTTAATGTATATCCAAAATTGTTGTGAATGGATATTATTCTATTTTATACTTTATTTAAAAAAACCTTTCACCTTTGAGTATGTATATGATAAAAAGTGAATTCCTATTAAATATTATCTCTATTTTTGATAATATAATTTTACATATTACTGAGAAGGAAAAAAAATCTTTGCTGCTGAAGAAGAGAAGAGCAATCTGTGATTAATCATGCTCAAAACTGAAAGAATTTTATTCATATTAAAAATTTACAGCTAAATTATTAAATTATTAAAAATCTACAGCTAAATAAAGTTGCTTTTTTACCTAATTTTAAATTTTACTTTGAAGTCTTCTCAAATTTGAAAGGATAATCTGTCTTAAAAATGTTATTTTAAGTGCAATCATACTGAATGGGGTAATGCAAAATTTGTTACAAGCTTTTGATTTTGATTACATTATTATAATAAACTAATTTTTAAAATTACTTAAAAATATGAAACATTATCAAAAAATTTTCACAACTATTACTTTAAATATTCGATGAAATAAATATGAAAATAACCTGCATTTAATTATAGTACACAAAGAGTACTAAAAAAGGGAAGTTAATAACTTAGCATTCTTAAAATAAGGTTTAATAACAACTGAGATAAAGATACATTTTTTTTTTTTTTTTTTTTTTTTTGTTTATTAAATAAGTTTTTTTTTTTTTTTTTTTTTTTTTTTTAGAGGAATGCTAATGCTAAATCTAAAACTTTAATAACTTTACCTTAGACAATGATAAAAACTATGATAATTCCTCAAAGCAGCTATTGAAACTGCTTCATAATACCAAATGTTTCTAAATGAATATTGGGTTTTTGATGCTTTGTAGTATTTATTACATAAAAAACTTAACATCATAATTAATACTTAAAATCATAATTAACTTAAAATTTAAAATCATAATTAATACATGAAATGAAAAAGCAACTCAAACAATTCTGTTTGTTGGTATGCATATGCGCTAAAAAGCTCTAATATCAAAAATGGCAATTGGTGAATAGAAAGCTTTTTGTGTTCAGAAGTTTGCAAAGACTGAAATCTGTAGTTACACTGCAATGTGCATTCCGGATTAAATTCAGATGTGATCCCCCCAAGCGATAATAACATCCATTTAAAAATACCAGCTGCCTTTGCAAAGGGAAGCATACAGGATGACCAGGGGTTATTTGGACCAAGGTTTTCGACTTGATCTGTGCCATGTGACGAAAGGTGCTCACACTGAACACTTGTAAGCTTGTAGAGGTTTAACTGTTTAAGTTGCTCTTTCAATTCATGTATTAATTATAATTTTAAGTTTTATATAATAAATACTACAAAGCGTTAAAACCCCGATATTTATTTAGAAACACCCTGTATTTAATTAAAATTTAAAATAAAAGAAGAAGAAAAGGAGTCCTTGGAGGATAAAATACTCTTCTGTGAATTCATGGAAATGTTATAAAAAATATGTACAAATCTTTCAAAGGATACAAGTAATGGGATAAGAAATGATAAAAAGTATGGAATATAATAAGTAGTGGCATGAATCTTCTATCAGCAACAAAGCACCAAATTCTCGAGTAAACTGAACTCTAGGCATCCTCTGATGAAGACGAAGGGCACTGGTAGCTGCATTACTCATAAGTGCTCTCTGATAACTGGTGTAAGGATTGATACTGAAAAGCAATTATATATATATTTAACTGAAAATATTCAGAATTTCTGTTCACTATCTCAGCTGAAACTATCAAATACAACATATATATTTCAAAATAATTTAGTTTCTTCCATTGAGACTATATAAAGATATTAACTGCTCTCCACCCCCAAAATAATTACATTAAATTTCTATAACCAAATATACACAGAAACCAGAATTTTTCCCTGAAAAAAGATTACCAATTTTAGAGAAACAACTGCTACAATACTTTCACAGAAGTTACCAAAGATAAAAAAAGGCTCATCAAATCTTAATGATGATTAACTGAAAAAATGAACTTTTTGCAACTTTTTTAAATGACAAAAACAAGTTCAATTTTCTTCCATTCAACTGTTTTTCACAAAAAGAAATGTTCATCAAATTATCTTTATATGATAAAAGCTTAATTAATATTTATTATTTCAAAAACAATATGGTAAGAAATTATAATAAATTGACAATCTAGTTTAAAAGATTTTAATTTTGGATACAGAAAGGTAAATATTTCAATCCTAATATTCCTATCGCTTCTCTCTCTCTCTTTATACAAAATGTCTATCAATATTTTAACATAAAATATTAAAGACATTTTCCTTGTTTCATAAATGGGAACTTACTATAAGTTAACTTAATTCATCAAAATGTTACACAACAAATTATTTTAAAGGTTAGGTTATTTGAATTTAGCAAAGTGCACAAGAAATAGCTACCTAAAGGGAGGGATGCCTTTTTTAAGGGAAACTGGTTCATATTCATGTTACACATAGAGAAAACCACAAAACCCAACTATGCTGCTTGCCTCAGATCGAATGATAAATGAACTCTCCAGTATTCAGCAATCTTAACCACTTGATCTTTGGTGGGGTTATTTCATCTGAACTTAAGTAAAGAGATATAAGAATGAAGATATGAAGTCAAATGGAAAAAGTTTATTTCTGGCTTTGGATTACTAACCTAATCATGAAAATAATAGAGAAAAGAAGAGGTTAGTGTCAAAATTGAAACTTCCTTTCGGTTTAGAGCTGGCATGACAGAATTTTAAGCTTGTGTCATACAACAGATCAAATAACAAAGTTAATTAGGCATGAGATATCACCTGGATGATGACAAAAGTTGTGAAAAAAAGGGGGGCCTCTTGGAAAATTTTTACTTCCCCTTTAAACTGTTTGCAGATGGAGGAAACTCAGCTCTTGAATTTGATGCATTTTAAACCATGAAAGAGCTTTTTTGCTCAGTTGACTAACGGAAAAATTTAAAAAGAACTTAAACTGCAGAACAAACATTAGAACGTGAAACAGAAGCTGCAGTTGGGACCAGGACATCTGTCTTTATTTTTAAAAAAATTCTATCTGGCAAGATTCTACACATCACACTATACCTTTTTTATTTGATAACTGAATACTTGATTCTATAGTAACAACAAAAATTATAACTATTACAGTATAACACTAACTAATTTAGTGGAACTTTCTTCTGGTAATAGAATACAAGGGATTAACGTAGTGCAAAGTCATACATAGTCAAAAAAACTCCAGGAGTGGGGGGGCGGACTATAAACAAACACTGTTATTTTTGTAAAATATTTTTCATCCCTGACAGAAATGCCTAATAAGACAAAAGAAAATAATCTTCAGAATACATTTTCTGCTCTACATGTTAAAACTCTTTGAAAGCATCATATTCACTTTAAAAACAAATATATTAATTGGCTATGGTACTGACAAAAAAATCAAATTGAATACAATATACAGTTTGATAATTTGAATACAATATACAGTTTGATGTAAGTAAAACTTCAGTAAATGATCAACATCAGTTTTAGAAAAATATAATCAAAACTCACATTACTGTTAATAAAAGGATAAATTGAAAAAAAAATATATGCATAATACATAATGCATGCTTTTTCATTTCTTACCACACTTAGCAAGTTAACCTAAAATTCAGCAAGTAAAAGAAATTGCAATGCAGTGGACTGCAATTATTTTGCAAGAGAAAACAATTATCTCTATAGTTGGTTTTATAGAAACACATTAATTTCTTTTGAAGAAAACTAAGATTACATAATTGGCAACAGTGATTTAAAGAACTTAGGTTAATCTTTGGATTATGGTAACTTGGTGATTTTTTGGCGAATATTTGGCGACCAACCCTGCTAGTTTTTGTTCGGATGCCATTTTGTTTTCACAAAGTAAAGGCAAGTTTTTTTTTTTTTTTTTTTCCTTCAACATTTTTTTTCCAACAATCTGCTAGCCGAATTACGCTTATGCTAGAACTTTTATGGAACAAAAGTGCTTAATCATGACGAACATTAGGTGCGACATTGGAAGAAAGTGCAGAATCGCAAACTGCTTGCCGCGTTTTTAAGAATTGCACATACATGGTATCCATGTACACGTCGACCTATTTTCACTTAAAAAAACATCCCAGAATTTCACAAAAATGGCATTGCGCACACTCTTGACTTTATCCATGTACACTGCTAAAGTCCTAGCTAGTCACCTTTATCGCCTTACCAAAATGTCGCCAAACTACCTGTTACCATATTCCAAATATTAGCCAGAACTCATTATGACAGCAAGTTTTACCATTTTATTATAACAAGGACTTCGTTTTATAAATACTTCAACAAAAAATTGAATTTTTATCCCAATTTAAAAATTACTAATTACAGACATAAAAAATAATCATATTCCAAGATTAATTTATAAAAGTTCCTTTAACTGCCACAATAAAAAGATGATTTATTTTTTATTTATTTATTTATTTATCTTTTAAGCTGTAGCTTGATTTTCAAATTCCTTTTCCTTCTAAATGCTCTAGTAATAAAAATCTATCTTGTACAGTAATACAATGGTTCTCAAAATGGATCTGGAGAACTAACAACTATTTAAGGATATCCCATGTACTTTTTAAAATATTACTAAAATTATTCAAGATTAATGAATTTGAATTTTGGACATTTCTTTTTAATTACAACAATTATACGTATCAAATATAATTTTTTCGGGTTTTCATCTGCAGAGAACCCGTTGGCGCTTCGGGAAAGAACCCTTTAGCGCCGTTGCAGTTTTACTCGCCACGATGAGCCGAGCCGTAAGCGTGATATTTTGTAAACGTGGTTTTTAATGATGTAAATTCAAGTTAGCAGACAATGGTAGTAAAAATTCACAGATAATAAGTATGTAGATGTAAAACTAACAGGTTAAACGTGATATATGAAAATAAATTTGTATTAAATTCAAGTTAGCACAGAAAACAATATATTAAATATAAAGGGAAGTAAAAATTCATTTAAAAAATAACAAGTTAGTATTCTTATACTTACATTTACAATATACTTTATGTATTTTCTCTAATTCATATACCTAGAATACTAATATTTCTATTACAAGTGTCTTTTTTCACTTATTAAGTACTGCTTGCCTGTTGATTGATGTATTTCGGTAAGAGCCATGCCCATGTAATAAATTAATGAATGCATGACCTTTAATACATCCATTTTACATAGTTTTCAGTAAAATTTTTTTTTTCCCAAGTTCCTTGCATACAGCTTAAAGCATTTTACGTTGAAACAAATACCTATCCTTTTTCATAATATATTTCACAATACAAATAACCTTCAATATTATGAAATGTAATATATATTATGAATCAAATTTTCTTCAGTAGCAGCATTTTAATAAAACTAGAACTTTATACATTTTAAAATTATTATAGGGGTTGGAAACCTCATGGTTCTGCCTGCTTACAGCTGTCAATAATTAAGAACATAACGTGAACAGCCATGTTACAAATTAGCATTCACCCCTCCCGCCATAATTTCTTCCTTTGATCCCGAACTGATGACCCGAGAACCGGCATCTTTCGACGAAAACTTCTTTAATTATGCGAAAATATTTCTATCTATTCTTTCTTAAAAAATTCAGAAAAAATAATAATAAATAAGAGAAAAATAATATAAATCTCCAAATGCGAACAACGACAACCTTCGCATAAGCGAATAGGATGAATTAGCTAGGTTACCAGGTTTGAACTATTATCGCCAAAGTTGGCGATGTTTACATTTACCGGGTTCTCTGCGGAAGTGCTTCCATTTTTTCTGCTTTCAGAAATTTCTCTTTACAAATTTAAACCTAGAACCAAACTTATACATAGAAGAGAGTTTGCCCTCCCCTTCCTCTTTTTTAACGAAGTATGCAATTTTGTTAGATTAAAAACAATTCTATTTTCAATTGATGACCCTGGCTGTCAAAATCTTTGTTTTGCTAAACAGCAGTAAAAAACTGCTAGGTTAGAAACATGACTAATCTTAATCTGAGAGAACTTAGGTTACAAGTATTTTGTCTTAAAGGGATTTCCTCTAAGCAATGAAAGCAACATTTGTTACCAGTCTGTTTGCTAAAATAATTATTTTTATCCACCAATTGTTGTTCCTATGGAAATTCTTATTTAGCTGCTGCTTGCTTAATACAGAGGAACTTCGAGATACGAGGAAAGTATGAGCGAAAAATTTGTCTCTAAATATGAGCACTGATTCAAGTAACGAGCAATAAGCCAGGCTGTTGGTATGCATGGCACGTATCGGGATCCAGCTCAAATCGAGGAATCCCCTCATCAGATCATTTGGTGTCCTTCGATATACGTGTTTGTGCGCTTGTGAGTTAACTGTTTTTTACATTTAACATGAAAATAATTATTCACTATGCCTCACAAGAAGGTTGTTGCCTTAGGTACTGCTGCAAAGAAAAAGAAGAAAGCCATGGTCCGTTAAAACTAAGAACAAAATCACAGATTAACATGAGCATCTTTTTTTTTTTTTTTTTTTTTTTTTTTTAGAAGAAAATGATTAAGAGAATCACGCAAAAGGAGAAATCTTTGCCTGGCTCACAAGCCAATGAAAGATAATTTTATTCTCTTGTTTTGCATCAATGCAAGTGGAGATTGTAAAATAAAGCCGTCTACCACTCAGAAAATCTATGAGTTTTTAAGAGGGGGGAGGTGCAGGAAAACCAACTGAATGTGATCTGGCGGGCCAACAGCAAAGCCTGGGTAACATGGCAATTTTATTAGCAAAGAGGTCAATGAAGTTTTTGGTCCCTCAATGAAGAAACACCTTCACGAAAATAAGTTGTAACTCGAGGCTTTGCTCTTCCTTGATAATGCTCCTACACCTCCTCCAGGGCTTGAAGATAATTTGCTGGAGAAATTTCAATTCATAAAAGTCAAGTTTCTTCCTCACAATTCCACTTCACTTCTCCAGTCACTAGACCAGCAAGTTATTTCCAACTTTAAGAAGCTAAGCTGTACACAAAGGCCTTGTTTCAAAGGTGTTTTGAAGTGACCAAATATACAAGATTGACCCTCAGAGAATTTTGGAAGGATCACTTCAGCATCCTAAATTGTTTAAACATCACTGATAAGGCTAAGAAGTCTCAGTGAGGACCCTGGATTCAGCATGGAAAAAAATTGTGGCCTCAGAGTATTCCTGACTTAGATTTGACCTGTTTTGTTTTGATCCTTAACCTGAGGACAACACAATGAAGCTAGTAGAAGAAATTGTATCTCTGGGGAAAAGTATGGGTCTGGATGTGAATGGTGCTGATCCAGATGAGCTAGTGGAGGAGCACAGTGAAGAAATTACAATGGACGAACTTAAAGAACTTCACAGGAGCAGCAGCAAGAGGTGGTAGAAGAGCTTCCGTTAGGGAAGGAGGGAACAGGAAATGCGGCCCTCTCTTCCAGTAAAATTAAAGAAGTGTTGGCAAAGTGGAGACACGTGAAAAACTTTCTTTGAAGAAAATCATCCTAATAAAGCAGTTTGTAAGCACACCATGAACTTGTGTAATGACAATGTAGTATCGCATTTTAGAAGTATTTTAAAAAGGAGACATACGCAAGTATTATTAGATAAGTTTTTGGTAAAGCAACCTGCAACTAAAAGAAAGTCAAATGATTCTAGCCCAGAACCTGCTTCTGTTGGGGTCAAATTCTCAAGAAGAGAGCCTTCCTGAATCACAGGGGAACTCTTCTTCCCACAATAATCTGTTTCGTCTTCCCCACATCCCTATAGCCAATCAGGACTCTTTATAAAGGTAAACTATGGTTATATTATTTACCAGTGTTATTTATCAGGAAAATTGATTTTTATGTTGATATTTTTGGAGGTGAGGAATGGATTAAATGGATTTCCATTATTTTCAATGGAGAAGTTGTTTCTAGATATGAGAAATTTGCAATACAAGCTCAATGCTGGTACAAATTAAATTCGTATCTCAATGTTCCACTGTAGTACAATTTTCTCCGCTCAAAGCTTATCATTTGAAATGGACTGCTGGTTTGAACAAGATATATTAAAACATTTATGTGCAAAAAATCTGCATTCAAATTTTTCATTGATGCCTTTTATTTATCACGTAGATGATAATGAAAATGATATAGAAAAAAAGAACTGCTTCGTTTGAAGGAGGCAAAATATCATCTTACTGGCATGATTAAAATAAAAACTCATATTTGCAAAAAAGGGGGAGAAAAAGACATTGTGAAGAACTATACTGATTTTGAATTTGTTAATACTGATGATTATCCACAGCAAGTCAATTACCACATTTTTTTTTTTTTTTTTTTTTTTTTTTTTTTTTTTCCCCTAATAGCTCTGTGACTGGCTCATCTGCTAAACTGAAGCTCCATTTGGAAACCATTTTTCAAGACTTCAAAGACTGTATATCATTTTTAATTATCATACAAACATGACAAACTTTAAAAAGTTGAAAAAAGTCATTTCTCAGATAGCTCATGAAGTAATAAATGCTCTATAAACCATCAAGCTTAAAATTTTGCTTCTTTTATATGCTTCCATTCTGAGGAATCCAAAATGTCTTAGGACCTGCAGTATTACTTGCTTTACCATTTTCATATATAGGCTATCTGAAAAGTTTCCAACCTAACAAAGAAAACAGATATTTTTCCTTCCAAAATTAGCTTTATTTTCAACATAATCACCTTGTAAGTCTATAGATTTCTTTCAGCAATGCTCCAATCCTTTTAACTTATCCAAGCAATATGTGGAATCTTTGTCTGCAAAGTAGTTATTAATGAAGTTCATGACCCCTTCATTTGATGAAAATCTTTATCCTCTGAGTGCTTCTTTTAGCTTGGAAGGAAAAATGTCACCTTGTGCCAGGTCTGGCAATTAGGGCGGGTGGTCAAACAGTTCCAACTGTAATTCATGGATTTTCTGCAACCACTGAGGTGTGAGATGAAGCATTGCCTTGGTGAAACAAATTACAAAATTTTTCATTACAAATTTTTTTCTTTTGCAAATGTGGCCATTTTTCTGCAATTGCTTGAATTATTAGCTTAAATTATTGCTTAAATTATTTATATCTAGCTTTTATTTATTTATTTATTTATTTATTTTCCTTCTTGTATTTACCAAATATTTCAGCAACACTTAAAAAATGAAGTTGGTATTTAAAAAAAAACTGTTAGCAACTCCTTATAAAAACAATTTAATACACTAATCAAATTATTCAACAAAAAACTGCTGATTTTGTGATTCTGTGGTACAATAGTATAAAAACGTTACTTTTAAAATTCTGTGTTATCACATATACTAAATTCATAGTTACTATTGCTATTATAACAAGAGTCTTTTTCAAAAAAATTAATTATTCAACTTTTCATTAATTAAAAAATTAATTTTTCAACCTTTCATTAATTAAAAAAGTATAACAACAGATAGAAATAAGTGGTTTAATTCCATGCCTGCAATTGAGTTTTTTTAAGGGAAGCCATTATCAGTCAAAGAATAAAAGAATAAAACTTACCCAAATAAAGGTACCAATGACAAAATAGTAAATATCATTGTTCCAAGTCTGGTTAACCACAGTAAGGTGTCAATTTTCTTTTCAAGCATATAATCCTAAAAAATGATAACATAATATTTATAAAGACCCAATGATAAATTTGTACTATTCATATTCTTCATAATCAAAACAAAGATAAGCATTACAAAAATGAGGAAAAAAAATTAAAAAACAAAAAATAAACCAAACCTCAGATAAATCATTAGCTTTACTTAAAAAATTAAGGCAGTTTGTGAAAAGGCAGTAACACTCTCCTCCTTTCTAATTCTTTTGGTATAAATTTTTATAGCTTTACAAAAATCAATAATTTCGTAACTTGTAGTATATAGGTCACTGTGAAACTTTTGAGATACGTGCAGATAAGTGGCCAAAAAAAAGTAATAATTGTTAGATTTGAAGCTATTAACTATTTTAGCCTAGCAGACATTCTTTTATTCGCCAATCGCAAGTAGTCTAGCGTAGAATAAATTTTAGACAGAAGAAAAATTGAGTTGATGCAAGAATATTATTGCACTATGATTTTCTAAGATTTTAAAGCGAGATTAAATCAAGAATACATTTAATATCTAAAATTAGCCTACAGAAATGAAGGTCCATCTGATGCTACAGTACTCAGATGATTTACAGAATTTCACAGAGATCATTCTCTTCGGGAAGAACAACACATAGGAAGGCTGTTCTCAGCAGTAATCCTGAATAATGTACCTGTCATACAGAAAATATTAATTGATGATAATCACTGCATCTATTAAATGATGCAGAAGGAACGTAACATTTGATCCACTGTCATACATAAAATTATTCATGAAGAACTGCACATGAAAAAACTAGTTTGCATTGGGTTCACCATAATTTAACTGAACACCAAAAAGAGAAGCGTGTCAGAAATGGTTTAAAAAAAAAACTTAAATTATTTAAAGAGGGTGGCTACTGCATTACTTCTAAAACTGTAATTGGTGATGAAACGTACATACCATTTTTTGATGTTCCAACACATCAAGAAAGTATAGGAAGACAACATGCCATAAAAAAAGTAATGTACGCCCTTTTTCTTCAAAGGTGCAGGACTGGTCTAAGCCATCAAGCTGGAAGGACAGACCACAGTCACAGCTAACTGGTACACCAATAAGTGTCTACCAGAAACTCTTCAAGAAGTGAATGTTAGAGGATTCATGCTCCATCATGACAATGTATCTTCTCATTTAGCAAGATTGGCAGTTGAGCTTGTTGGACAAAAATACATCAAAGTGCTAGAATATCCAGCCTATTTATTTGATCTAGCTATGTGTGACTTTTAGCTATTTTTATTTTAAGAAAGATCTTACATGGATGATGTTTTCATTCTGAAGATGAGATTGATGAGGCTATAAATACATTTTCTTTCCTGGTTTCCAAGAAATGAATGGCTTGAGGCATTCAATCTTCCAAAAATTCACCTATAGAAGTGCATTGATGCTGGAGATGACTACTTTGAACACTCCTAAAATTTTGTACGTAATATAACTTTAAAAACCTATGTGTTTCTTGAAAATTTCAGAATAATCCTCTTATAATCCCTAATATGCCAGATTCAAGCATTATATTTTTGTACAATTACCTTTTTCTTCTAACATATGTTGACAAAATTAATAACAATAATAAATAAATTCTAACATATTCTAACATATGTTGACAAATTTAACATTTTATTATTTGCCCTTTTGTTAGACTAATATTTTTTTTTATTTTATCCCCCCTTTAAAAAAATATTTAGTCAACTCTTGATTAATTGGGGGTGGATTAATTGGGACTTGTCTAAAAATAGATTAGGTTTTTTTCACTATAGAATAATGTAAAAATGATTATCTCACATCATGCAACAAAGCAATATTTCTACGGATGATGCACAAAGGAGAACAAAATGTCTGAGAAAATATCAATAATAGCAGATTATGTCCCAGGATTTAGGAATTGTTTTTATCCACAACAGTATGCAATTTAAGAATATCATTTGGAACATATAAAAACTGTTAAATCACCAATTAAAAGTAAATAAAGAATACAGCTATTAATTTTCCTTTTCCCATTGAATCTTATTGAAAGACAAGAATATACAAAAAAAAAATTTTTTTTTTTTTTTTTTTTTTTTCCATTTAGAAATGTGTTTTCCTTGTTTTGATTGCTGATTTAATATACATAAGCAAATGAACTCAATCTTCAAATTAAACTGCTTAAAAACAACCAAACTGTTAATGGTATCCTCTGTTAATTATAAAATACACTGTTGGCCATTAAAATTGCAACACCAGGAAGGAATAATCTGACAAGCGTCAAAATCATACGAAAGGAAGAAGAGGTTGGGATATGCAACTGATTAGTATTTCAGCACATTTAGACAAAGCAGGAGGGAGAAATGACATCTGAAACACTGCATAAAAGAAAAGTTGTGTAGTGGATTTCTCATTTGGAAAGCGCTCTGTAAGGTCGGAGTTTGATCAGAATATCATGTTATCCCTCGAATAATTAAAAGAAATGCTTATCAGCAAGTGTTGGAATTCGACAGAGCCAGGATCGTTGCCTATCGAAAGTGTGGATTATTGTTCCATGGTATGGCCCATCGCACTGGTTGACATAAAATTACTGTCATGCGAATATGAAATCAATGGGTTGCTGAGGGTCATACTGAACAACATGCAGGATCTCAACACCCTCCCATGAATAATGCCCGTGAGGACAGATATATCGTGAGGTCAGCCCTGCAAAAGCGTACAACTACATCATGGACCATTAGTCAGGAAATAGGCATATTTGCAGTACGTCCAGTATCTGCTCATACTGTGCGTCTACGTTTGCACGGTGACCGTCACTTCGGTGTCTCTTGACAATGCAGCATAGAGAGAGATGACAACTCTGGTGCGCCGAACAACAAAAAGTGGATACAGGAGTGGCACAACTTCATCTTTTCAGATGAGTCCCGGTTCTGTATGAGGTATTCTGATGGCCGTATTCGTATCTGGAGGCTTCGAGGAGACACCACATCGCCTGCTTGCATTTGATATCGGCTTAAAGGCCCTGCACCTGGTGTGATGGTTTGGGCAGCCATTGGATACACAACACACACATCTCTGGTTCGCATTGACAGTAATTTGAACGCAGATCGGTACATTTCTGACATCTTACATCCCGTAGTTGCACCCTATCTTTGAGGCCTGCCAAACACCATCTTCCAACAAGATCATGCATGACCACATGTTGCACATCGAGCTCTGATCTTTGTTGATACACAAGGTATTTGATTGCTGCCCTGGCTCGCACGGTCTCCAGATCTGTCCCCTTGAAAACATCTGGTCATGGGTTGCTGAGAGACTGGCTCGCCACCCCTCTCCAGCTAATACCGTTGATGAAGTGTGGCATAAGACTTGAAGCAGCATGGAATGAGTAATCCGTTTCTGTCCTCCAAGCCGTGTCCGACTCCATGCCTAACCGGGTAAGGGCCATTTTAGCTGCCAGGGGTGGCTGTTGGTCCTACTAATTTCGCTTTCCTGTTGTTGCGCCTGCGCGCGCATTTCATTACTAGCGTCGGCACATGCGTCTTGAGCTCTTGGAGTTTGTGACATGAGATTGTGAGCTAAGAGCATGTGAGAGAATTCGTGGCTTCGAGTGGTATGTAAATTATATGTAAATTATGTAAATTAATGAGAATAAAAGTGAGATATAATACAGTCCATTGTTCCTGAGTTTATTGAATTATAGCCTGTGCAAAACACCTGTAAAGCCCTAAACTGCTTACAAATTTAATCATTTTGTCTTCATGCCTTACTCTTTTTATGTACAATAAATATCTTTTTGGTATGTGCTTTCTTTCATGGGTTGCAATTTTAATGGCCAGAAGCGTAGTTTATTCCTATTTGATATGGTCCTCCCCACCCCCCACTTCTGTTTGATTAACCATGACTCTGCCCCCAGTATTATCCTAATTAATCAGAAGTCTACTCTATATAGACTCAGTAAAGGAATCACTAAATACTATATAAAAATTTTTCGTTAATACACATCATACTGTACACATAATATGAAATATATTTAAATGCAATGCTGCAAATGTTCAAACTGTTTAAATTATGCTCTTTTTGATAATTCTAAATATTCAATTATATAATTAAATATATAAAAATATATAATTAGATATGTAAATGAGATTACAAAAAATTACAAAATCGTATTTCTCTCAAATTTACAAAAATATTAAATTCACAAAACATATTTTATGTAAATAAAAATTTGATGACACAGGTTAATATAGGTTGCTGTTTTACCAATCAAACCCCAACACCCATGTACCTTTTCATTAACTCAATTTAGCTACAATGTAGTTTTATTACTGTTCTTGGAAAGCCTGAATTTTTTTTGAACACCTAGTATTAGTTCAACGTTAAATCCAAACTTCTTTATGCATTAAGAATGAAATACCAGCTAATTTTTAACACTAGGTAGTCAGATATAGTAGAATAAGTTAATAGGGTTAGTCTATATTTTAGGGTGCACCTTGGATTATTGCCAACTTATTGTTTCATTTATGGTAACCTGAGTAGTTGAATGTTATGGCTCAACTGTTTGGAAACAGACTTAAGAATTTTAGAAATAACCAACTGGATGTCCATGGCCAGAAATAGAACAGCTTGGAATTCAATCCTGAGGAAGACAAGGGCCCATCCTGAGCTGTCTGGCCAGACAAAGGCATCTAAAAATGGAATACATCAATCTCAGTCCGTAGGGAGAAAATCACTTTTATGACACACCTGCTCTTTCTTGATTTCTAGATTTTGAAAGGACAAAAAAAATTCTCAAAAAAAAAGTTGTCATAGGTCTGGATATTGGATGTCCGGATTTCAGACTTTGTACCGAACATGTAAGCACGCTCAAAAGCAGCTATCTGCTTGCTTGAAAGTGCAATATATATTCTAATACTACGGAAAATTATAAAAACTAATTGTAACAACCCTAAAAGGTAAAATCCTAGTATACGGTGCAGCCTTGGCATTAGTTTTAAAATTATCACCAACACCAAAATGACCCGTTTAACTACTCATCGTATATGTCCCGTTTACTGCTCATCATAAAATTGCCAAATCCCTTGTGCACCTGATACTAGAATTAAACCCCCTAAAATATAATAGATCAAGTCTCAAAAATATAATACTAAGGAACATTAAATACAAATTATTTCAGGACAACTGAAACAGATTGATCAAGTGATTCATAATTTTATACACTTACAATAGCTACTTGAAGGCCATGAGGTGGTGGTGGTGGTGGTGGTGGATTCGACTGACTGCGATCTTCTTCACTCATTGCTGCTGCTGACTTTTAAATTTCTGAAATTAAATAAGAATGCAGAGTCAAATGAGAAGAATTTTATATCCTAGCTGCCTCAATAAACAACTTAACTGCACAAACATAATGCACTCATTAAGCTGCGTTAGATTATGTAATAAATAAGTTTTATGTAAAATGGAAAACTTGAAAAAGAATTTGTATACATAAAGAACTGAAAAATTCAAATTTGACTTAGTTTCCCATAAACTAAAAAACCTTTTATTCATATTTACAATTATTAAAAATTTAAAAACATGAAAAATTATATAAAAAGCAAAAAACTTATATAACTAACTGCCAATTTTTTTGGAAAATACCACACTGCAAATAATTACTTCCTCTGTAATTTAAACATATATATAGATATAGATATATAATCACAGATGTAACGGGATAAAAAATGATCTGAAGCAGGAAATTGAACATTAAGAAAAGAATATTTTGGAAAAAAGTGATAAAACATTTATGCTCTACTTTGCTTATATTGTATCTATTAAATAAAGAGTAATATTGTAGCTACTGGTTATAAGATGAAAAATGCAGTCATACTAACGATCCTTGCAAAATAATTTATGCACAGAGCTTAACATGTACGATGACCGCAATTTTTTTTTTTTTTTATTATTATTATTAGTTTACAATGTTACAAAGGACAGGAAAATATTCTTTTAATTCAATATTTACTTCATACGACTTAAACGTCGAATGAATATAAAAGTAGTTATACGTTGAGTTGTTTAAGGAACACTTATAATGCGTTCTACTTCCGCTCCACCAAATAATGCATTAAAATACGTCTTAGATCATAATATAGAAAATAAAATACCTTATATAATATAACTCCGCAGGAATTAAACTTCCATTCAATAAATATTCGTTTAATTTACAATTTTGCTCTTCTGTTAAATATCATGTCAATAAGTTTGCTACAAGCTGTGTTACATAATATTTTCGTTTATTTAGGAAACGTCAGGAACTTGCGAAGGAGAGATATTTGATTATTTTTTACATTTCGGTATTATTATTTAGTACTTTTGTTCTAGTTACTGCAGGGAAAACAATTTTTCTGCAAATTTCTAATTGTTTATCCAGTTAAGATATGGCTGGGTCTGCATTAAGACGTCTTATGGCGGAATACAAACAACTAACTTTAAATCCTCCTGAAGGTATAATTGCTGGTCCTGTCAATGAAGAAAATTTTTTTGAATGGGAAGCTTTAATCACCGGCCCTGAAGGGACTTGTTTCGAAGGAGGCGTATTTCCTGCAAAATTAATATTCCCTTCTGATTACCCTCTTAGTCCTCCCAAAATGCAATTTAGCTGTGAAATGTTTCATCCTAATATATACCCTGATGGCCGAGTGTGCATTTCAATTCTTCATGCACCAGGTGATGACCCCATGGGTTATGAATCTTCGGCGGAAAGGTGGAGTCCAGTGCAAAGTGTTGAAAAAATTCTTTTATCTGTTGTGTCCATGTTAGCAGAGCCGAACGATGAAAGTGGAGCAAATGTTGATGCCGCTAAAATGTGGCGAGAAGATAGAGAACAATTTAATAGAATAGCAGATCGCTTGGTTCGTAAATCTCTAGGCTTAACTAGTTAAATTGCTTCACCTCTTTTTCAATTCTGTAAATTTAAGAGACATTCCTCCACAGTTCACATATATATGTAAATAAATTTATTGATATTAAATTAAGAGTATGTTTCAAATATGATATAAATTGTTATCTTTGAAAAGATTTTATTTTCCTTTAAAAGTAATAAAATTTGTATTTTTCATCTATACAACAAAATAAAAATTCTTGGCTATTTCTTCTGTTTCTGGTCGTGTTAGAAATATCTATTTTTTATCCTAAAAAGTTTCGTTATAACTTGCTGTTATATCTGTCAAATTTCATTTAAATGTACTAGTGTAGTATATTGATAATTAAAGTTCTATTTTATGTAATGGTCGTAAGAGTTTTCATGTGAGTAACTTTTTTAACATGTTGATTGCAGTCAGTGCATTATTCTTTTTGTGGAGAAGTAGCGATTTCATAATGAGACATGACATAATACTTTGGTTAATCTTCGGATTATGGTAACTTGGCGATTTTTTGGCGACCAACCCTGCTACAGCAACCTGATAGAATTGGCCACTGCTTGCCGCGTTTTTAAGAATTGCACATACACGGTATCCATGTACACGTCAACCTATTTTCACTTTAGAAAAATCCCAGAATCTCACAATAATTGGCATTGCGCACACTCTTGATTTTATCCATGTACACTGCTAAAGTCCTAGCTAGTAACCTTTATCGCCTTACCAAAATGTCGCTAAACTACCTGTTACCATATTCCAAAGATTAGCCCTTTGTTTGACACTTTATTTTTTTGCATATTATGTCATAAACTTTGTATGGATTTCGTGTAGTGCTAAGCAGTTTTGAAAAAAAATTGAGAATCAGTTAGGAGTGTTATCAAATGGCTTTTCTCATTTTATTAAGAATGGAGTGTTTGTAGATCTTTTTATTTTCTTAAATTACTTTCTTCTTTCGTCTTTTCTTTATTTACATTTACTGTCTTCTTTTAATGTATACTGATTAAATATCAGTAACCTTTAAACATTCATAGATTATCATTTATTAGAATAATAATCTGTGAATTTGTGACAATTATTACTGGTAAAGCATCATAAGAAACAACATTTATCATCATATATTTACTGGAGTTATTTTGCATATATTTACTTCAAATAAGTAGTTACAACATTACTTATTTGCAGTAGTTTATAATATCAGGTTTTCCTTTTAGATTTTAGTGTCAGTAATGTTAAGTGTATATTTTTCACTCTTTAGATTTTCTTTCAAAAAAAAAGTAATTCTAATAAGTTAATAAATAAAATAATTTATTTAGCATTAAAAAAAATGTGTACAGTTAGCATTGTTATTTGAGCAGTCTTTTCTGATCTTATTTTTTCCATATTATGAAGCCAGGTTTCTAAGTAAGTTTCTAGGTAAGTAAGTAAAGCTTGTGTATCTTTGAAATTTGTAGATTACTGGAAATATTGAACTAAATTTTCTGATACCACACCTCAATGGGAAGAATCATGCAATCATACTTTTTTCTAATAATAGCTGGAGTAATCAAATTCTGTGTTATTTTACTGTTGATGAATTTTTATTCATTTAACTATTTAAATATTATTGCCAATGTTTTTCAAATCTTATCGGTTTGCAGACAGTATTTTAATTGATTAAAAAAATTTGACATCATACAGTATTATTTCAGTTATTTTTAAAGAAACTATTTTTTCTTCTGTTTAAAACCTCTTTATGTATGAGAGATTGATCTATATTTATTTATTATTAAAAGTTAGTTGTATTTAGCCATCCCCCTTTATTTTGAAAATAATAAGTTCTTTTATTTAACCAAAATAAAATTCAATTCAAATCCATTCTTTTTTTTTTTTTTTTTTTAACCTCATTATTGTTGGTAGTGTTCAGTTAGAACCTAGGTAAAACTTCATCATTGACAATTTAAGAAAAATGGAATCTTTCTCTGCACATAATAAATTTGGCTTTATACTCTTATATGCGCCCTAAGATCACCAAATGTGGCGATATGTGCTCTGCACTGGTTTTTGGCACGATTCCATGCTGTGGGATGGTTTGATGGACGATGCTGTTTGTATCGCAACCCTTTTGACGTTGTTACTTAACTCTTTTGCTGCAGTGTCGTGTGTATTTTGAAATGGCCTATGTTGCAATGATAGATGTGTTGGGAAGGTTTCAGTCACGTATTTTAGATTGTGTGAAAAATAAATTTAGTATTAAAAGTACAATGTTGGAGCTGTTAACAAGTCTTTTATTCACGGGTGTGTTTATGAGGATTGAAGTGTATTTTTGGAATTTCTGTGGTACTTTCAAAACGGAGTGCGAAATGCGGAGCTGCTATGAGAACTCGGACGAAGAGGGGCATTTCTGATAGTTCTTGTGTGGATTTGCAGTCAAATGTTTGCTGGTAAAGTATGTGGCTGTCAGTGGATTTTAAGATTCCAACGATACACTTATTCCAACGGTCTTCTAAATTATGGATCCCTTGACTGTAGTGGTTTTTCGGCAGCTCTGCAAAATATCCCTCCACGGCAGCTATTACCTCTTCTTTTAAAGAAAATCGTTTTCTACGGAGATATTGTTTGAGGTGTGGGAACAGCCAGAAGTCGGAGAGACCTAAATCTGGCAAATAGGCTGTATGTTGCAACAATTTGTACTTCAATTCAGTTATTTTAGCAATGCTTTTTTGAGCTGTGTGCGCAGGTGCGTTATCTTGGTGGAAAATGATTTTCTTCTTCTGTAATCCGAGTCTTCTTTCACGAATTTTTTTGTCTAATTGATTCAAAAGGTTACATAATAATCCGAATTAATTGTTTTGCCAGTTTGAAGGTAATCTATAAACAAAATTCCTTTCGCATCCCCAAAAAACTGATGCTAACACCTTCTTGGCTGATTTTTGCACACGAACTCGCTTCGGCGCCGAAGAGCCGGCTTCACACCACTCCTTAGCCTCCTGTTTTGATTCAGGATCATGATGGTAGACCCAAGTCTCCTCCATTGGGATAAATCGACGGATAAAGTCGCTTTTATTCTTCTTAAAACGCTCCAAATGTTGCTGGCAAAGTCGCATCCGAATGTGCTTTTCCTCCATCGTTAGAATGGGCACCCATTTTGCACAGAGTTTCTTGAAACCCAAATTAACACTCAAAATATTGCTCACTGTGCCCAATGAAATGCCTAAAGCCTCTGTTAAATCTCTTTCAGTCAATCGACGGTCTTCCAATACCATATCTTGTATTTTTCCGATGATTTCCAGTGTTGATGCAGTTTTTGGACATCCCTCTCGCGGATCGTCTTCAAGGTTGGTACGACCACTTTTGAATAAACTAGCCCACTTGCAAACTATTGTTTTTGAAGGAGCAGATTCATCCAACACATTCACCATTTCGGTATGAATTTCCATTGCCTTTAAACCTTTCTTTACAAAGAATTTGATAACTGCACGTTGCTCAATTTTATCCATACCTGAAAAAAGGCACAACACGTTAGATATAGAGGGCGGTTAAACAATGAATAAATTAACAGATGGAAATGAAACTTTTGACGTGTTCCTAAGAAAGAACAAATAAGAAAATGGCATCGAAGTTTTAGGTCTAATATTGATGAATAGATGACGCTCCGCGAACTTATTGAACAACCTTATATTTTTACTTAAAAAACATCAGAGAATAATGCAAACTCTGCATTGTGCCCTCCTTTGATGGTGCCCATGTACACATTGATCTGTTTTCACTTTTAAAAAAATCAGGAGAATGATGACGTCATATATTGTTAAAACAAAGTTACTGTTTTTGTCTTGTCTTTATTACATGGAACCACGGTTGCCAGAGCCTACTCCAAAGAGAGGTTGGACTTCTATTTTCCACTCCCAATTTTGAGGAACAGCACCCTATGGGTCTCCCACCCCTCTTCCCTTCCACCAATCCATATGAGAGGACTTTCGGCTCACTGCATATTTAAAGTGCCACCATGCCGCACCAACACTGTACATTACAAACATCCATGTCTTCTTTGGGATTCGAACCTGGGCCCTTAGTAGGCTAACAAAGTTACTCATCACCAAAATTAAACAAAATTTGTAGCCAATTGAAGCTCGATAAACTGCATTTTAAATCACACATTGAAATAACATAAAAGGAAATACATATTAGGAGGATAAGGAAATACATATACGTACTACGAAAAAGAAATATCGACTTACCACATTTAGAAATTTCTTTGTCTTCAATCTGTGACATATAAAATTCCTTAACTGCATCCAAAAACTTTCTAAAATTATCTAAACTAGAATATGCATACTAACTTCACCGCATAAATTCACAAAAATAAGAGTAAAAAATATCCTCTGTTGTGCCGGACTGTTGGTAGCATTTCTTGCATGAACCTTTCTTACGACAAAGCCATATGAATGATCTTTACATTTGACCATATGCATTTCCTTCATACACTTATAATGACTACTAAATAAACCTTTCATTTACACACCAGTCAGTTAATGCCTTTTTTCCCTTTTGTTCCAAATCGTTTGGAAGCTTCAAATTAGTCCATGACATACAGCCATTTTACGTTGTACAGCACAAAAAAAAAAAAAAAAAAAACTTTTTAACTGGCATCCAACACAGAAATAAGCCCTTACAAATATTTTCCCATCAGTCGAATTCACTTCAATCACATCATAATAGGGTTTCCATAACATTCAACTACTCAGGTCACCATAAGTGAAACAACAATTTAGCAATAATCCAAGGAGCATTCTAAATTACAGACTAACCTACGATCTTTTTCTTTTAACCTGGTCATTAATACTGCACTAATTAACTAGGTAAGATTAGTATTTAACCAAGATGATTCAATGTTATCAAGAAAGGCAGATGTATTCCTTTTTATAGCTATCTAGATATTTATTGATTTTTATTCAAAGCCCTCTATCCATATTTGCATTATCAGTGTTATTCATTTCAAATACTTTTGGCTCGAGAATTTAGTAAAAAATAGCACTGCATAAGTATTTTGAACATTTAAATTCACTAAATGGTGCCAGATTCTATAACCATCTGCAAGATTTTGATTCCCATTAGAGATATAATCATACACTAC